TCATTCATACTCTAATTCTATAGACTGTTAACTTAAGAGTTTATTCTTGGGAGTGTGGACTGAGCCATGAACAGGGATGACCCCAGACATATTAGTTAAACATTCACACTTGAACCATAGTGGCTCATTTACGGTAACAGACTGCAGCAAAATAATTTTAACGTGTACAGTGAACTCACCAAATACTGAACTGTGTAGTTATTAAGTGGTATGTATAAACATTAATGTTATAGAAGAACTTGTCAGGATTTGGTTATGGAGTGTTGACACAAAAGCAGAGGCAGGAAGGCAGAGGTGAATTTCTTTAGATTTAATTAAAAAGGGAATCTGAAAACAAAGGCAGGTTATCCAAAAATCCAATAATGAAAACGAAGTTCTAACAAGCATCAAATCAGAAGTCCAAAAATCCAAAAGAATCAAACATAAAAACTAGTCAAAACGAACCAGAAACCGTGGAGACATCAGGGGAATCACTGTCCCAATGAGGAAGACTCAGGAAGACGGAGTTAGAGGAAGTTTGACTAAGTTTGGCAGTGTTTGACAAGGACCCAGCAAAGGGGAACTGAAGAGAGACGGCTTTTAAAGGAGACAGAGACAAAGAGGGGGCTCATGAGGAAACTGGGAGCAGGTGTGCACAGAACAAGAGGGAAAGAGCTAGGGAAGAAGGAGAACACAAGAGGGCAGCAGAGAGCAACAAATAGAAACCTGGAAGAAACAACACAATGTTAAATTACTAGGACTATAAAGCATGGAGAAAAGAAAACTAAACACTCAAAAGAAAACATAACAGAACCCAGACTAGGACAGTAACTGGAAAAAACCAAAGAACACAGCAAGGAGTAAAGCAAGACTGAATACTATAACAGAAACCTGACAGAACTAAGATAATGGTGTATCTTGTGGTATAGGGATATTTTGATTACAGATCCTGACTTGAAAGTTTTTTAAGCCATAAGTTTAAGGACATGCCTTTGATGTGTCAAAGGTATAATCGGTATCAGGTGGGTTGGGTAATCAACATTCTTATCTACATCATAAAAAAATTGCATGTTCCAAGAGGGAATCAGATTTATAGTATAAAATGACACAAAGTTTACCAAGAAGGGAAGTTGAAGGTGAAAAGACAAAAAAGAAAATGTTTTTCTAAAACTATGAAATCTTTTGATAGCACACTAAAATATTTATATAATATTATTATTTTTTTTTTACGTGTTTCCCCAAAAACAGTCTATTTCATTTTGACACTTTTTGTGCTGCAGCATTCTAGGTCAGGTGTGGGTCTGTGTGAGTTTGTGTGGCTAAACTCCTCATACTAGGTTAAGTGGAAGCCGCTGGTGCACATTTACTAGAACCTCCAACCCAAGGAGTACTTACTCAGAGGAAGACACTGAATGGTAGATATTCCAACAACAGTACTGAGCTACAGTGAAAGTTTCATGTCTTTTGAACAGCCTTTTTAATTTTTTCCTAAGAAAATAATGTATTATACAATATAATCCTAATGATCATATTGTGTAATAAACTGCGAGTAATAAACTGTATTACTTGCATAACATTATATAGTAAACTCTAAACGCAGTGGTGGGTGGTGCATCTGGTACCTAGGCCAGTGGGCATCCCTCAACTTAATTTTCCTCTTTACCCCATGACGACCAGCATGTGTATATGTATATATATATATACACACATGCATCCATTTTCCATCATGCTTGCCCCAAATGAGTTCGGGAGGGGTGCTGGCACCTATCACCAACTGACTATGGGCGAGAGGCGGGGTACACCCTCAACAGGTCCCCAGTCTATTGCAGGACAGCACAGAGTCATGTTTTTGGACGGTAGAGGAGGAAGCCAGGGTACCCGGAGAGAAACAACGCATGTACAGGGAGAACATGCAACTCCATGCAGAAAGACCCAAGAAACACTGTGCACCATAATATATATACACTCACCGGCCACTTTATTAGGTACACCTGTCCAACTGCGCGTTAACACTTAATTTCTAAGCAGCCAATCACATGGCGGCAACTCAGTGCATTTAGG